GTATAGTAAAACTGGGAATTGTCAGTTGTTACCGGAGTGATCCCGAGCTAGTCCTGCGCTGTTCCATGTCTGTTTCCTCATCCATATAATGGCAAAACAATAACACCTACCTTACAGTTGCAATATTTTTCTCATTGATTTTTCTTAAGCATTTCCTAAGATTTCACTAACCATGACAGAAATGAGATTAGAAAAGTGGCTAATTGCACTAGCCTCTTAAACTGGTGTCTCTGCTTCCTCCCTTGTGTCTGCCGTCTATGGTCTAAGAGCAGCCAGGAGAGTGGATTAAGACAATCAGACCATGTCACTACTCTGCTCAAAACCTTTTAACAGTTTCCCAACTCCACTAAAAAATCAAAGTCCTTATAAGAGCTCACACCATCCTATTGCCTTCCCCCCCTCCCACTCCACTCCCATGCTCTTTCTCAAGCATGCTGAGATCTCCCCAGATATCTGTGCACATGTTCCCTCACTTCTTTCCAGTCTCAACTCGACTGTCACCTTCTCAGCAGGGTCTGGTGGCTCAGTGGTAAAGAATTCACCTGCCAATGCAGGAGATGCAGGTTCCATCCCTGGGTTGAGAGGGTCCCCTGGAGAAGGAAATGGTAACTCTAGTATTCTTGCCTGGAAAATCCCAGGGAGAGAGGAGCCTGGCAGCTTACAGTCCAAAGGAGTTGGACACAACAACAGCAGTGGTAGCAGCAGGGCCTTCCCATTCCCCCTATTCCAGCTATAATTGCCCAGTTCCCCTCCCCGCTTTATGTTACTCTAGAACACTCTCACCATCCAACATACTCTATATTGTAGTTCACCTCTTTATCCGGTGTACTGTCTTCTTGTCTCCACTTCAGCATACGCTCCATGAGGACAGGGGTTTTATTTTGTTCCCTGTTATGGGCCCTGGCTCTAGAAAAATCCCTGGCACACAGCAGATGCCTGATATAGATTTGTTGAATGAGCAAATGATTTAAGTGCCAGTTACAGTACTGGTATATTCCAAGGCTGAGCTGATTAGAGGCCCAGCAGCACGGCTGAAGCACATGAGTTTCACGATAACAAAATACATTCTGAACACTGAGCTGAAGCCGTTCCCCTGCCCCCATCCCATCCTCAGGGGTTTCAGAGACATGTAGAAACACAGCAAGACAGCCTATGCCACAGCTCAAATTAGCACTGCTAGATATATACTACAAGAGCCCCAGCGGAGGAGACACGAGGCTGGCTTGGGCAAGGGTATTACTAAGAACATGAAAAAACTGTTCTCAGTTTTAGACAATGGAATCTGAATCTATAAACGATTGCTTCCTTTAGTGTGATGAAGAAAATTATTCAGAAAGAATAAGCTTGTCGGCTCTGTCCTATAAATAACAATAGTTCTATCCTTTCTTGAAAATCCATAAGCTGGAAATCAGATTTTTCAAACGACTGAAATAAAGCACAACCTGTCTGGGCAGAATGATCAGGCTTTATATCGTGAGCGAGGTGAGGGTTCCGTGAGTGCTTTGCCAACATTACACATGCTATGATCATTACCGGCTGACTTGAATTACAATGCACAGAATTCTCGCATACTGATTCTGCTTGAACAGAATTCCCACTGAAAGCACAAAAATTCTTCCCTCAGAATTTCTGCCTGTTAAATGAAACGAGAAGCATGCTATGGGGCACAAAACAAAATGATTAATCCTTTCCATATCCTTTTAAAACAAATGAATAGTGGGTGCTCTGGAGGCTGGTGTTCACCTTGACAGAACATGTCATCAAAATACTTGAATCACCCTCAGAATTTTAGGCTGGACACCAAGCAGGACAGAGAAAGACCATGAGAGACCTTATTTCATAAGAAAATATTAATTTCTTCAGAATCAAGGTATTCAAATCACCTTAAAATGATATTTACTGAGTGCCTGTTATATGCCAGTCATACAACTAGGTATTTTCACATTATCTTAATCAACTCTAATAGCATAGGAGAGAATGATCTATATCCCTATTTTCCAGATGAGGAAATTGAGGATTCCAGAGAATGAGAGATTTTGTCTAAATCACAAAGCATGACTGGATCAGAATTCAAATCTAAGACTCTTGACTCCAGTCCCCGTTCTCATACTACTACACTATGGAAGGAAGCAGGGGAAAGGCCTGCAAGAATCATAATGAATCCAGTGAAAATTGTGCCTAACCCCGGTGGCTCAGACCGTAAAGAATCTTTCTGCAATACGGGAGACCCAAGTTCAATTCCTTGGTTGGGAAGATCCTGGAGAAGGGAATGGCAATCCATTCCAGTACTTGCCTGGAGAAAGAATTCCAGGGACAGAGGAATCCATGGGGTCTCAGGATCAGACAAGACTGAGTGATTGACACACACACATACACAATCAGATTTTACTAAAGGCCTCTCATCTGAAAATCTAAGATGTTATCTCCAGGACCTTGCAGGGTTTACCAGAGAGTGAAAGATAGGCACTTTAACAAAGAAAGTCACTTAACTATTCAGTCTCTTTATTTCATGAGCAACAATATAAGGAAATAGTTAGCTTTAGTATCTCTTTGTCCACAAAAGAAATGAACATTTACACCTAATAAGATGACCTTTAATTTCATCTCTCCTCACATACTGTCTTGAAAAATCAGAGGCTTTCAGCTGGCTGCTAAAAAGTTTTGCCCTTCATTTCAAAAATCAAAATATTTTAAAGTGTCAGGGTTAAAGAATTATATATAGCAGGGACAAAACACTTCAGTTTTAATCAGAAGATGATATTTTGTCAGGGCAATAAATTAAACTTTTTTCTTTCTTAAGGTCCACACGTTGAAAGGTTCAGAAAGGAGGCTACATGAGAGTGTTTGCCATCTCTGTATCAATTAAGACTGTTACAAAAATAAACTTACTATCATGGTCAAAAGGGCTTATGGATGGACTTAGCATCTCTGTTACAAGCTGGTTGCAATTTCACTTCTGGGTTTCACCCAGAATGAGTCAGCACAGGTGACAGAGACAGAGGTGTGACTTTTGTACTCAAGCCCAAAGAATGAAGAAAAGAGAAGGATCCTGGGAAGAGCCTTGTGATAGGTGCACTGAGGGTGGTGTAGGTCTGACACTTCTCAGACCAAGAGCTGAAATGCTCAGGACCGCCTGATGTTACTCCTTGAGGAGCAAATGTGCTGAAAGACTTCAGTTGAGTACTTACAGGTTTAATATTGTGTTTTCCTTTCTGGAGCAAAGTATCTGAATCACATTCCTGGGGCTTACCCACATTAAAACTGGAAAAAATTGCCCATCTGACACCAAAGGCCACATCTGCAAAACAGACATGTTATCCCCCTTGACCCGGAGGATGTATATACGTGACAGGTTCTGAAGGCCACGGAACAATTTTCAAAATCTTTGCCAAACCAGCCTTCAGTGAATCAGTAAATTCAACACCAGCATGCCACACGTGGTCAACAGGTGGGTATCTCTGAAAATCCCCACAGCTGAAAAGGCAGGATCATTTCGCTTCCACAAGGAATCAGGAGGCAAATGCCAGCCTACCCAAAACCATCCTGAAGAAGGGAATTCACAATTAATTCACAAGACCATCTCATCTACTTGACTGCAGGAAAATCACATCACTGTTTTTGAGGAATCTGTTATGTAAAATGTGATGGGGCAGGATAGCCCTTTCCTTAGAGCCACGTGACTCTTCTTGGGGGAAATAGAGTTAAGCAGTCAAGACTTGCTCCTCTGCTTCTCTCTTTTCCTCCCACAGATAGCCTCAGCTAAAGTAATTCCAGGATGTTATTTATTTACTAGAAACCCGACTTTGCACAAGGATCTATCTAGAGGAGCAAATCCGACCCTGAGGATCCCATTAACTTCCACAGAATTTTTGGGGGGCGGGGCACCGAGAGAAAGCAGGTGACACCAAATATTCTGAGACTGAGAAGCAGCAGCTGGAGAGAAACTGTGCTTGGGGTTGGGAGAGGCACAGGCTACCCCTCCTCCCAGCTCCAGTTTCCAAATGGAAGGTGAGGACTTCAAAGGAGCCTCACCTGCTGGGTGTCCCCACCTGGGCCAGGTCTTGAAGGAAAGGAGACAATCTTGGCTTCAACACCAAAGAGGAGCATCCCAAGGCCCAAGTTGTAAAAGACAACCTGGCAGAAATTCAGAGTCTAAATACCTCTGAGCAATGGCTCAGACATGCACCTGATCCAGTGATGTGTCAGGAATAAATCACTTAAATACACCTTGTTTAAAAACAAGCAAATATGACTTAAATATTATTTTCAATAGACAAGAAATGTGGCTAGCAGGGGAGCTCAAGGAGGCGACCTCGGTAGATTTGCAGGGTGGAAAGGGAGAAATCTGACAGGTCTCCCTTCCCTAGACTTCCTGCGGACCATCACTGCACACCCTGAATTGAAGCACAAATCTGGCAGGTTTTCCGTGCCTGGGTGCGGGCAGCGGCTCGCCGCGTGGGCAGGCACCTTTTTCCAGGCACTGACTAGGAAGAGTGACCGACTGTAACACCCACACTCTCCCTCCCGCCGGGGACCGGACCATTCCCGAGGCTCAGGTGCATGTTCCAGTTCAACCGCAAACCATCATCCACACACTGTCCGGACAACGCATGGTTCCGGGGGAAAAAAAGAAAAAAGGGAGGGGAGCAGATAGGATTTAAACAATTAAACCACATTTGCTTCCAAACGGTAAGAACCGAGACCTACACGTTTCCCTTTCCCCCTTCCAAGCCCCTATGATCATTTTGGGTAAAGCAGGAACCCGAAGCTCGCGGAGCACGCAAACGGGTGTCCCGGAGAAGCTTTGTTCTTCGCACGGAGAAATCAGCACCCTCGAGGGTAAGCCCCCCGCGCGGTGTCGGAAGCCCAGGGGGCGCCGAGGAACCGAGCACCGCGTGCGCCAGCGCCATGCCCATCCTCACACGCGCCCGCCCCGCACGCGGCCTGGGTGCTGGGAGCGCGTGAGGGCGCGCGCGTCGCCCACCCGCCACGCATCTCACCTAGCACCACCGCGATCACGGTGGACAGCAGCAGCCAGTTATTCCTCAGGAAGCGCTTCCAGTCGCATCCTTTCCTCGCCGGCTTCCCCATAGCTGGCGCTGGGGCTCGGAACCACAATAGGGGCGGCCGCTATTGTGCGTGGGGCTCGCCCGTGCGCGCGGGGGCCGGGGAAACCCTGGGACGGCCGGTAGCTCCGCGGCGCAGTGGAGGAGGGTTGCGGGCGCGCGGGGAGAGGGTGTGCGCTAGCTGCCGCAGCCGCTGCTGTCCGCACCGCCGCAGCCGCCACCTGAGCTCGTGCGCCGCGCCTGCCGCCCGTGCTGTGCGTGGCGGGCGCGCCCGGCTCCTCCTGCCGCCGCCGCGCTTGCGGCGCCCGGGCCAACCAGCAAGGAAAGAGGGAGGAGCGGCCGGCCCGGGGAGGCGGGTGCGTGCGTGGTGCGCCCGGGGTCCCGGCGGAGCAAGCCTGGGAGGGCGTTCGCGCTGTGGCTGGAGCAGCCGGGTCGGCCCTCAGGGGAGCAGTGTGCTCCGCCCCAGTTTCAGGCTGGAGCCTTTCGCTTTTTTTTTTTTTTTAATTGGTCAGGCCAGGTTTTCGGATTTACGGTTTCCTCGGCTCCCTAATCCTTGCGGGGCGGAGGGGCGGAGTCAGTGGCCCCTTTCGCTTGAACTTCAGCCTGCACACCCCCACGCCCCCTCTTCAGTGCAGCGCCCGAGTGGGGAGAGTTGGGGGGAACTGAGTTCTGTCTTGGGTTCCCTTTGCTCCTCGGACTTGCCAACAGCCTAGAAAGCCTGAAGCCTCTAGGAGGAGGGAAAGAAAGAGTGCTAGGGGCAGAACGGGACTTTGTGAACTTTCACACGACGTTTCTAACCCGCCGCCCCCAGAAGTATTATTAAGTGTCCTGTTTGGGTCCAGGGAGGTGAAGCTCTCGCAGGACTGTCTGTGGACCCAGGGCTTGGAATGGACCCTCTTAGAACTTCGCTTCCGCTCCTGGCGGCCGGCTCTGTGGCCGCCCAAGGCCCCGGAGCTGTGAGACTTGGCAAAGTAATTAAGACTGAGAACCCAGCCGAGCGGAGCTGAGTAAAAGGTGGGCGGGCCCAGCCCAGCCCTCAGGCCAAATGTTTTGGAAAGGCAAGAGCAGGAGAGTTGGAGAAACTAGGTAAGTGCCGCCGAGTGAATTTTCCAGTTCTCTTCCGCTCTTGCACTCAGTTTTTTCACCCTAGTTTATACAAAACGTTTTCCCCGCTTAACCACACCACCACCCCCGCAGCTCTAGCCTTGCCTCCTCGCCAGCTTGCCTTAGGTTACCGCGGCCCTGCACCTTTTTGCTGTTGTAGTCTCCTCCTATTGGGGGATCTCCCCAACTAAAAATTTTCTGATAACTAACGCCTCACAATTAGAGCGCCATTCCTTTGCGTAAATGGACAGAAGTGTCCTGGAAGAGAAAGTAAGTTTTATGAACCGTGTACACTTTAGTATGAATGAACTTATCAGCTCATTTCCAGAAAATAAATTTTGAGAAAGGAAAGATAGAGGGATACCAAAGTCGTTGTGTGCCTGGGGAAGATCTGAAGAAATGTCAGAAGAAGGGAAACTATCAAGAAAGAGGGGACAAAGATTTCCATCCTACAGTAAAAAGGCTAGAAATACTCAGATGTCCAGCATGAAAGGAATGGTAAATATTTTATGGAACTGCCATGCAGCTGTACATTATGCAGCCTCTATAAAGGAAGTTTATGAAATTTCGAAGAGCATAGGATGGCACATGTCATAATAGGGAAAACAAGAAGATTAAAATTGTATATATAGTGCGATCACAACTATGTAAAACAAACATAAAGCAAAGCCATGTACTTAGAAAAAAGTCTAAAAGGAAACACAAAATTTTAACAGTGCTCATCTTTGGGTGATAATATGATGTCTGAATGTTTTTGCTTTCTATCCTTCGGTATTTTCCAAAGTGTTTACCATAAGCACATCCATGCCCATTACAGTTGTAGATAGGGCCGTATTTAAGGAATAAACAGGTCCTAAAGAGAAAAAAATTGAATCTAAGACAAACTTTGTACACTGCAGTTTTTTGAGGTGTAGTAAGACAGTTACACCTGGGTTTTGGGGGTAAGGATATATTTAGGTTTAAATCCCAGCACCACCATTTACCAGTTGGGTGTCCTTGAGCAAGTTATTAATACTTAAATTTTTTGTCTTGGTTTCTGCATGTGTAAATAGAGGCATTCACAGTATTTATTTCATGAGGGTATTGTAAGAATTGAATACAAGAATATATGTAAAAGACTTAGAACAGTGCCTGGCACACAACAAATGTCATCATGAGTTTTACTTGGAGCCAACCTAGACATGCATTTTCTTACTTCCTCCTTTGTTCCCTGCCTGTCCTGAAGATACTTTGAGCCATTTCACACACATAAGAACCCTTGTATATTGATCAATAGTAATTTCCTCTAAGTTACTGTCAGGGACCCTAAATCTATTGTACTTTCACACCTAAAGCTCACATAGTACATACTCATTTTATGCTTCTTTGAACAATGCAGTCTAAAAATAGGGTAATATAAAAAGGAGAATAGAGTCCAAACATATACATTCATTTTGCAATAATTACCATCTCCTGCATTAAAAGTCAAGAATCTCAGAAGTTCAAAGCATGTAGGCCAGATGAATTATAAACTGTGTTTATGCTTTACTAAATGGCAGTTCCACTTTAGCTGGTAATAAAAGATAATTAATAAGCAAGCAATCATAGTGCACTTAACATTTGCCAGACACCCTCCTAACCACTTTATACATACTGACTACTTTGGTCCTCTTGACAGTTCAATGAAGTAGGGACCATTATATCCCATGGAGCTGCTGGAAAAATCAAATGAGATCTTGTATATTATCATTATTTTCATTTTAAAGCTGAGGAATTTGAGGTAAAAGAAGGTTAAGTAACTTGCTTAAGTTCCCTCCACTAGTCAGAGAAGGATCAAGGGTTGAACTCAGTGGTCTTGCTCAGCTAAGCGCACAAACTCTGCATTAAACCACCAACCTTTTCTATGAGAAACAAATACAGAATTGTTATGGGAAAATTACTCTTAAGTTACGTGAATTTTACCCTACACATGGTCTTCAGGAATCCCTCCATCCAATTCCAGGAAATGCTTTGGTGTCCTACAGTGCCTGCTCAAGTGGAAATTGCATGCGTTTTACCAGCAGTGGTTGAACTCTTGAATCATCTCTCCATTGCTGCTACAAGCACTCAATAATTCTACCTGATTTCTCTGCCTAAGACAAGAAATGGTATAGGAAGCATCACTTCAGAGAGGGAGGAGATTGGAGACCCCTTGGTGCTCAAGTTCCGTTCTTTTTTACTTTCTTAGCCTGGGCTAGTCATGGACACAAATAATTGCAAATTGGACAGGAGTGGAGAAGCATTTCTCTTGTAAACTACCTGAGGGGATCTTAACTACTCAGCTCCTAAAACAAAATCTCCACTCTTCTGGGATAAGATCTTAAAGCCAAGTGGAAAGAAATGTTAGGATTTTACCCCTCCAGTAGATCTCCCCTTTCCCTTTTCCCTGGCCCCTCAAATTCTTTCATCCTGCTGAAATGTACCTTTGGCCAGTTCTCACTACATTGCATTTTGCCAGTGTGTGTTTGCCCCTTTCCTTCCTCCCTCCCTCCCTCCTCCTCCCCCTTCTTCATCCTCTCTCTCTTTTTACCATTTAAGTAACTCTGACATTTCCTTTATTGTTATTGTTTCTCTCTCTTTCTTAAATTATTAACTCATGGACTCTTGTTAGTTATTAAAGAAAGGAGACTTTGATATTGCCACACAAGGTTAAGCCAGCGGGTGACAGCTTGGGCGACAGCCTGGCCTTATGTATTACTTGGGATAGAAATGAAAAAGGGCATTCAGAAACAAAAAGTAAGTCATCAGCTTCTGAACATCTCTTAAAATAGTATGCTGGTTGCATTTTACCACCATAAAACATATGCAGCTGGATGCTTTGTCCTCATGCTGTGATAATGGGGAGAAGGAGGTCATGAGTACCAGAGTCTCCTTTAGTGTCTACAGCAGTGATTCATGACTGATAGATAGTAAGAAGGATGCTGTCAGCATATTCCAATACCTTTTTTTAAGCAATCTCTTTTTTGTCTTCCAGTTTTGATTTGGATTTCTCTTGGGATTAAAAATTAAGGAGTAAAAGAACTATAATTCATTAAATCTCCACAGTAATACTCCAAGTGATATTTTATAAAGGTTATTTGGCCTGAATAGACTTGTATGTTAGTTAGATATTCTTGAACTCTCGAATCCAACAGAACTTTGGCCCAAAGTTCAGTTTGAAGAGCAACTGAAGAGCAATTCTATTTCATTTTAGAATATGAAAAAAAAAAAATCTGCTTCATAGAAGCTGTGTGTCCTTGAACAAGTCACTTAATCTCTCTGAACCTTAGTTTCCTCATCAGAAGATATCATTTACAGTAATAGATATAAATGGTTAATACATATTTGAAACATATGAAAAGTATTCAGTCTCACTAGTACTGAAAGAAATGAACATTTGAACCAATATTTATTAGCTGAACAAATATATTTTAACATAAAATTTTGAAATTCACAATTATGAATTTATAATTTGGACATTTTAAATTATAAACTTAGAGAGGAAAATGGGAAAATGGAAAATGGGAAGTGTCACACAGTACCAGTGGACCTAAAAAATGCTATGATTTTCTAAGGATAATTAGGCAATGTGTAACCTTTCCATCAAAAGCGTTTGTATTTTTTAATTCAACCATTCTACTTCTACAAACTTATACCAACAAAATACTAAAGGGCTGTTCATCCCAACCCAATTGGAAAAAACTTAACTGTCTAGTAAAGTGAATTGACTAAAGTTTGAGAAAGTGTGTAAAAATACACTGAAATACCATGCAGAGACTGAAAAGCATATTTTAGCAGAATATTAAATTACATGGGAAAATGGTAAATACTTAATACAACTATGTTTTGAGATGGCAAAAGTAAGTTACAGTCAGTAGGTGGGTTGTTTTTTATAATAAGAATGCAGTCATTTATTATTTTTTATCTAAAAATATAAAACTTAAAATATGTATAATTCCAACTAAGTCTGTATGTGTGTGCATGTGTGTGTATGAG